CAATATATATTATAGATAAAAAGCCAGATACAATTGATTGCAAGTTAGTGGAAAAGGAAGCCAAGTTCACCTAATACGAAGATTAAAAATATCAGATCCTCAATATTTCCAAGCAAGCAGTGAAAAAAATTCCAATTTTATCCATTATACCCTCAGCTCCTTCATCCAAGCCAATTCGGTTAGACACTTAGCTCCCTTCATCCGGCAGTTGCATGATATCACTAAGATTAAACCATATAAAGTAGGACATGTGCATGGTTAAAAAAACCAAATCCAATTGAGAATAGCACAAATTTGTAATTACTATTGATCATCATTTAAGTTCAAATATAATTTACCTCAATCAAGTCAGGAATATCGTCAGTGGTCTGATGTTCCTCGTCCTTCCGTATCTTGATTATTGTGTACTCACTTGTTGGATTAGCGATGTTGTAAACTGTGAGCTGATGTCGAACTGCAACTCATTCCCTCAATTTGTAGGAGATGAGCAGATGGTGGTCCTCTAATTCTATTGTTATCTTGGAATAGCCTTTCAGTCGACATTCCAAAAAACCGAGCTCCCACTCTATCCATAACAACAAAGTCACCCTCTCTTGTTTTGTCCTCAAGTCGAAGGTTGATCTTAAATCTGTATAATGATTTTAATAACATAAAAAGTAAAATTGTTGAAGTACACAGTCTTTATCTACTATGTATAATAGCAAAAAATTCCTAGCGCAAGCGACAAGGAAAACTCTAGAGAAGCAACGAAAAAAAGTGGAACCATATTGGCCCAATAATTAGTATGAAAAAATTATTTCCAAAATTAACGTTGAAATAGAAAAATTAGTAGTTGTGAAACCGTATCATACTAGTGGTCCAACCAAATATAGAATCTCAAATCGATATAGGTTTTTACCGTAGCATACTGTTCAGCTACGTGTAGTTAAACCACGATTTAAGTATAAAATATCTTAACGTCGGCTTATCTTATATATATAACATTCGGTTCGAGTTTACAAAGTTTAAAAATTAGTGATGTGTGATTCAATAGTTAATCGTTACTATCCTGTCTATAAATTGCTTAAAACCTATACATAACTGATAGTCCAAACACATAAACCGTTCTACGATTGCAACCAGTTGGAGATTCTACTCAGCCGTCAAATCTAATAAGTAATAAATTAACACTATGTTTTTTTAGGGGGGAAAGCTGAGGAAAGGAAAATAGTGGAGGGAAAGTTAGATTATCGATGCACTTTCCCCTGTTCTAGAAGAGAGGAAAAGAAACAGGAGGGAAAACTGCAAAAGAAAATGTACGGTAGAACTAGTGACTCCAATTTGGAAGGAAAAGGACGGAAAACACCAAAGCCCTTTAATTGTGTTAACATTTTGATTTTTTATAATAAATTTGCTGAGGCGGAAGGAGTAAGAAAGTCTCACTTTACTTGGTTTGATTTTATTTATTATAATTTATGCTTTATTCCAAATTGTCTCTGGTGGGTTGAACTAATTTTTGTCACGTATTAGAAGTTGAAACAGAAACATCCATGATAGGATATTTTATGTTGAAAATATGGTTTAATTGTAATTTAAATATTTTATATCATTAAATATTGCTTATCGATTAAGTCACTTGTAAGAGATTCTTCTGGTTATAAGTAATAGATGTCATCTTGTACATGAGAGGTAATCCAATTTTTATGAGAAAATTTTTAAATTATATTAAAATTAATAGTATTTTTAAATTGAAATTTCTTTATAAGAAACCAAATTAGTAGAAATAAATTTGATTCACTATTTATAAGTAATGAAAATTATATTAATGCATAACAAATTATTTTACTATTACATAACTAATAAAATAACATATTCATTACACTTCCCAATAACTTTTTATCTCACTTTTTCCTTCACTTTCTTTCATAAAACAACATTTTCCTTTCCTCTACATTTTATCTCCCCTCCTTTCCCCTCCCCTCCAAATTTTCTTTTCCCTCCATTTTCCTCCACTCTTTCGGAAACGAAGTGTAAAAGAAACATGGCCGTTATTAACACAAGCCTATTTGTTCATTGTTTCATGCAATAGTGGGCGATTATAATTTTCTTTACTACGGGTTGCAAATTTGTAATGGTGGTTGTTTAGGCCAACAAAGATAATTAAAAGCACAATCCATAAGTAAGAATATTATGTTCTTAGTGAACAATAAAGTGTATTTAAATTTATATGTCTTAATTTTTCAATGATATTTTACATTCAAAATTAAATTTGGGGTATCAAAATGTAAATTTGTAGTGAGTAATTTGTAAATTTTCAATTGATGTTAGTGAACAGTAAGCAAACTTTTTGTTTATATAGTTTAACCCTGCTGTAACTTTTGCAGAAACAGTTTCTGGCTGGAGCTTTTGGAGAAGTACTTAAAAAAACAGTTTAGCATTCGGCTGAAAAACTATTAAAAGTGTTTTTTTAATATAAAAGGTTATGTAAAATGACTATAAAGCACTTTTCAGTTTTTCAAAAGTTGAGCTTTTAACGATGTTTGGTCCTATTTCAGCTTTTTAAACTGAAAAACACTAATAAAAGTCGGTCCAACTCCAAACGTAGACATATATTAATATATGGCTTCCAAAGAATGATTAGAACTTTCTTCTCTTAATTAATAAGGTATTGGGTTAAGATGCTAATTGAGTGGGCGACAGTCATGTCATGTAAATTAGGTATTTGCGTGAGCATAAGTAAAGCAATGATAATGATGTTCGGATGCTGACGAAGAAGTAAGCTCGTCAATCCAACGCGATTTAAGTTGAGTGGTTCGAGTAATCGAGTTTCCAACTTTCCATTTATTGATGATGACGATGATTAGTAGCAGTAGTAGTTACTAGTTAGATGTGGTGGAAATCCGAATGGAAAGGCTGGGTGCGTACGTACGTTTTATTGTTTGTTTAACATAACATTGTGGTCCGCCCTGTTGGTTGGTCGCATGATGAAGTCCGATCAAGTTAATCACCAAGTTTCAATTTTGTTTTTCTTTTATTCTGCTGTCGTTTTTGTTGATATCAACTTTAATCTGTTAATCTGGCCTATGATCGCGAGTTATGAGGATCTTGTTCATCATAATCCTCCTGCCGTACTATCCTAAAAGCTTCTACATCTCTCTAATTTGTACTATTCTAAAAAATAGTGAAACTTATTCTACTTGCCCGTGGCTAGCTAACCCATTGCATTCTGCTTTGAAACTTATCCCTGCTACCCATGACAAGAGGCGGAGGCAGGGGTCCGGACAGTGTTCCGTGACACCGGTACTTTTAGGTTGATTAAAATTGTTTTACCACTACATTACAAGATAATTCTTGCATAAAAGAGGACCCACATATTCTTGAATGAATAGTTTAGATATTAGTTTTAATTATATTAATTATTTATTTATATTCTGAAAAGAGGACACAGGTATTTTTGAATACTGGCTCAGCCACTAACCATGACTAGCTAACATATTGTGGCTAGCTAACCCATTGCATTATGCTTTGCAACTTATCCCTTCTATCCATGACTAGCTAACATATTGTGTTCTGTTTTGTCGATAACGTGCCCCCTTAGCTACTAGTATTAGATGGGTGGTTGGTCCATCTAATCAGTGGCGGAGGTACGGAGCTAGGGATGGCAATCATACCCACCACCTGGGAATCAGACAGCATCTGACCTAGTCAACACGGGGAATCCCAACATTATCGATTATCGATTGCACACTTCTATATTGACACTAACAATCGAAGGCCAAATGGAACCTTCAACCGGGGTAGTATAGAGCAAGTATTTTTTTCAATTATCAAACTCGGACGGTCTATATATCATTACTTTAGCAAACCACAAATTATCTAGCTGTAGAAACATTGTTTTAAGTTATTGAACTAAACAAACAAGTAAACAAACACAAGGTTGAATTCAAGAGAGAAAGTTTCACTCTGATGCTTATCCCCCTACTCTCGTGTTGAGTCGATAACGTGATACTCTAGCATGATTACTACATTGTATATATAGTTAGGAGATCAAAGATAGTTAGGAGTCTTTACTCAAGTTTTTCTAACCCGCCTAATTGCTCTAATCGGAAAGGTGTACCGAGCTACCAGATTAGGCAATTAGGCAAACCAAATTCACTCGCTTTGGCGGTGATCTCAACGACGTAAAGAAACCAATCATCCCCGTTCATAGTTAACTTACGATGATTGAATAGTGCTCTAAATTACTTTGTGGAGATCTTCTCTCTCTTAAGTTAATTAGGACCATATTGAAGATGATCTTACATTAAATAAAGAAGAAAAGTAAGATGAAGATAAGAGAAGTAAAAGCTTGATCGAGTTTTGAGAAAGTGAAAATGGAGGTTGTCTAGTTACAATGACCACTGGGTTGCAACCAAATTCAGAACTGCGGGTCTACATCTTTGTCGGTAAACAAATTAGTTATTGACGATGCATAATTTTTATCATTAAATTTAACACGTTATTATCTCTTTCTTCAAATCATTTCAATTAAAAATTCTAATTTTTTAACAGAAAAATTATATCAATCTATCTCTTTAAATTGACTTCCATTTTGATATATTTGGAAACAAAAAAATTGAGACGTATAGTACCCATCTATATCAGTGGCGGATTCAGAAAATTTTCACAGGGGTGTCCTCTTCAAAAATTAAATTAAATTATTAATAAATTAAATAATTCGTATATTAAAAATATCATACTTGTATAATTTGTATAAATTTTTTATTAAATAATAAATTAAAATTCATATTTGGAAAAATAATACAAATAAACTCCGTGTTTGCACTGTTCAAAAAAAATCTACATATCCTACGAGACAATACTTAACGAACTTATCACATATTCGATTTCTAACCTTGTTCTTAATGTAGCTCAAAGTAGAAAAGACTCTTTCAACACTTGCCGTGTAACCATAAAATCAATTCAAAATTAAGGGTAGCGTGTACGTAGTTTAATTATTAGGTATTGAAAATAGTTGAGGATAAAGAAATAGCGTTTTACTGTTGCATGATGTTTAAAATAGAATAACAAATGAGTAGCAACATAATTAGAATATGTTTGATAATAGTCGTGTCCTAGGTTGGAATAACACGGACTACCACTTATATTTTGTTAATCATAAACAAACTATTATCGAGGGTAGGATAATCATTTTTATCAAATGTTAGGGTGTTCCGGATTACTAATTATATTTTGTATACCCATACGAAATTATTATCGGAGGTTGGATGTTTCCCCAAATTTTTAGGGGTGTCCCTTCCCCAAATTTTAGGGGTGTCCCGGGACACCCCTAGAGGCCCATGTATCCGCCCCTGGTCTATACCATGATGGTAAATTTTTATTGGTATAAAAAATTATACTATAACAGTTTGAAAGTGTATCATGGTGATACGAATATAATACATTGTAGGAATTCTGATAATAGGATTATACCAACCAACATTTACCATCCCAAAGGGATTTTTTTTTAATTTGTCTTTGATGATTATATCAAATTTTATAAATTGCTTTTTTCTCTAAATATAACAAAATAATATCATTTTGTAGATCATAATGAACTAATTATATTTGTATCAAAATTTTCGATTTAAGTAAGAAGATACAGAACATTAGATAATTTTTCTAATTTGATTCATTAAATTTAAGCCCTCTTAAAATCATTTACCAACTAATTGAAACACAAATGCAACCGACCCTTCACCGAACGGCGGATGTCTCCGTTCCCATTTTCGTTCATACCGATGTTACCGTCCCTACACACTGCCAAGGCGGCACCGCTCTGAACCGCCCGTAGAGGAGCGGCAGCGACTACTTTGCTTCGACTTTTTTGCATGCTGCAATGAAATTGAAAGCTTTGCCTTTCCCTTCGTAGCTTCATTCATCTCCAAAAACAAAGAATCCAAATTTCCCACTTAATTAATTACCGCCTCAGCTTTGCCGCAGTTAAAAGTGGAGAGTAACCCGGTCACTTTCTGGACATCAGATCAACAAATCCCTCTTTCCGCCCACCAAAACTCACGTCTCCAGAATCTTCTAACTTTACCTCTTTATTTGTTTGTTTAGTTTTTAGTTCCAACTTTATTTCCCTTTTTGCAACTCTATTGAATTAAATTACTGCCTTTGCAAGATTCGATTAAGGCGCGATGATAGCTGTAAGTTTCTTGAGTTGGGACATTTACCTGCAGCTTACCCCCATTGTTACCAGAATCACCCGAGCAAGAAAGCCAGAGTAGAAGAATCAGATTTTTTCTAATCCAACCAAAATTGCAATTCACCCAACTCGATCAAGAACTAAATTAAATTAAGCGTTATATTATATAAAAAAAAATTTACAAGAAAAGAGTAATTAAATAATAATAGTAGTAATGGGCGGCGGTTCGTTAATACAGAGGCACCGCAATCCGCGGCGGCTTAGGAGGAGGCTTCTCCGCTGGCACCGCCACTCTCTCCGCTCTGGCCGGCTGGCACGGGCACGGCAGTGCTATGAACCTGGCTATTTGATCTCCGGGCATCACCACCGGCACGCTCTCCCCCTGTTTCTGCTTCACATCCTACAACCAACCCAACCCAAACCAAACGGAAGAAATTAGATTCCGGCAAGGCGGAAGAAAACAGAGCCAATTAAGATGGGGGGATGTGATTTAATTTGTTTACCAAGCGGGGAAGGTTGGGTTTGAAGGGGAGAGCTTCAACGTCCCGATCCTGGTCGTCGTCGCCGGCGGGGTCGTCGGAGAATCCGCGGCGGAGGGAACTGAGCTTGTCCCAGTGGTAGCAGCAGGAGAAGATGCCGCTCAAGCTGAAGATGACGATGAGGAGCAGAGCAGTTCCCAGGGGGAAGCCGAGGGAAGGCCTGGACGCGTCGGCGTGCGGCGGGGACGACAAATCTGGGGTGTCCATCGTAATCTGGGGCGGGAACAGACTTGGCTCTGGCAATTGATTCTCACCCACGATAGTTCGGCTCCTTCTCTCATGTGTCGGAGGATGGAGAAGCCAAAAAAACAGGGGCGACGGAGAAATGGCGGTGGGACGGGGGACTCTGTTTTTTTTTTCTTTCTACGGGGAGGAGAAGAGAGACGGGGGTAGGTTAGCTTTTTATAAATGAAAAAGGGGGCGCAGAATATTGCTATTATATTATTATTTTATTTTATTATATAAAAGTGAGAAGATGGAGTACGTGTAAAGGTACGGCCTAATTTGTCCCGGGACCCGGTACGGAAACAAACATTTTTCGGTGGTGGGCTCCACCCGCGCTCCGGCATCATAATCTCTTCTTCTCAGGCCTGCTGCTGCTGGGTGGCGGTCCGGTTAGCGGTTATCGGTTAACCGGCCAGTTAAACTGATAACCAGCCGGTTATTCACTAACCGATAATTGAAGTAACCGAACTTCGGTCAGTTATCGGATGCTAGGCGAAATGGTTTTTGGTCTTAAAAGTGGGTCGGTTAATCGATAACCGAGATAACCGAGAAACCAAAGCCTATTTCGGGCAGTTTTCGATAGGGGGAGTGGTTATTTCGGTTAACCGATAACTGGTCGATCGGTTATCGATTATAACCGAAATAACTGAAATGCCACCCCTAGTGGAGGAGTGCGTGAGAAAAAAGAAAGCCTGGAAAGGTGGTGGTGCAATTCGTGTTTCCGTTTGAGCAATTCGATTCCTTTGTTCACACGGTAATGTAATCTTGGTTTCTGAGATTTATTGTACTGGGTGTGTCTTTGAAAAAAATTGTTGTGCTCAATAGCTATGAATTTTATTGTGATTGGATGAGCTAATTCGGATTTTGTTGCTATTCTATTTGGTTTGGAAGCGCGAGATGGATTCCGGGTGTGTCCAATTCTTGTTTGGTGATTGATTTCACATTTCTTGATTGTATCTGTCAAGCTCGAAAACAAATTACATTATTGATTATTAATGATAAATTTGGTAAGCAAGGGGTAGAAATTCGATTCAAGTGTGAATGTTTGGTGGTCGGTGGTCCGTGCTTTAGGTAGCAAACCTAACGAGCAAAATGTTGTATGTAGGCGATTGTTTTGGTCCATTTTGGGCTTTGCTTAATCTGCTTTGCTGCTGCTGCCTGTTGGTCCTTTGATTCTGATGTGATTAGTAGTCGAAATTAATCTTCTCAGCTTTCCCCCCTCACATTGACGAAATGTAGGGTTATAAATAGGATGGTTTCTCACTAGCTAGATTAGGGTGCTTTTCTTGACTTTTGGTGTTCGTTCTCTTTGAAGACAGACTGGCAAATAACCAATTAGCAACACTATAGCTACCATCTAATTAAAAACAAACAAGTGGATTGTGTCGATATATACAAAGATCGAAAGATATGGTGGCACTAGGCCAACATGCATGCCAAAACCACATCATTGTACATGTTGAAGCACTAGTTGTCGTCCTAATAATGAACAGAAGAAGAAAAAAAAAAGATGGGCTGCACTTGAAACTACTTTCGTGGCTTGCACTTTATCTCTTCTTCCTCCAAAATGATAAAAGAGTTTAGACCGATATAGACAAAGAAACTGTAACACACAACACGCAATTTGTCCAGAATTGGGTAGGTGGGTTTTAGCTCGGCAAAACAAAATGAAAAAAGAGATATACATTATTAATTATGGGTCAACATGTATATTAGTGTATACTTAAACTAATGATGCCCCTATTTAATATCAAGCACGAGGCAGTTGGGCGAGGGGCCAGTCCTGCAGAGCAGAAGCCGAACGGTGGAGGATAGCATTGGGCATGTTAATCTGACTCTCTGAGACCTCAAAAGCCACCTCAACACCATTACCCAACACTCGATAAGGTGGGATATACTCCACGAATATACGGTGAAAGGGGTATTGCTTGCTACTAAAATGATATACCACATGTATAAAATTGAATGTTTTCAAATCGACGTATTAGAATTTTTAATAATTATGAGAGATTTTGTGCTTCAATTCTATTCACTAAGTACATTGTATTCGAATTCATACGAATTTCAAGTTTGTATGAGTAAATTTTTGCTTAAAAGAACATGTTAGTAATTAATATAAGATCTATAGGTGAACTTGTGCCAAATAATGAACATGTAATGAGTCTTATATTGGAGGCAGCACACACGCATATATGTGTGTGCAGTGCACAGATTGAGAGATACTCCTAAGAATTTTGGAGAAAATTAACGATCTTTCTGTAGTTGTTTGGGATGGGGACGGACCTAAGGTTCTATATGGGTGCATTGGGACACTCTTAAAATTTGGGATATGCTAGTATTAGTTTGAATTTAGAGGCAAAAGTAATTTTTCGTGATTCAAACTCATAACGTGATAATTATTAGAGAAATGTTGTCCATTAGACTACAAACCAAATTTTGTTATGTTTAAAACATAATTAACTATATGTATAATCTAAAATAAAGTAAAACTAAACCCTAATTTTCATGAAATTTTCACCCAAACCATGAAAAGCAATAATTTTCAGCTACCCACCCGTCTTATATTGAGTAAGCTTATTGCATTACCATCATGTTCAAATGTTTTACCCGGTTCTTGATATTCGACTGAAAGAGTTGAACCACCGCTTTTATGAGATGAATATTAGGTTGTTAACTTGAATTTGCTTATTTTAGCTCGGATAATGAGTTTGGTCTCTATTCTAAGTCATTTATTAATCCACACCATTTAGAGAATTAACATTGTTGTGTCAAGAATGATGAGTTATTCATTGGATCAATAGGAGTTGATGAACTAGGTTAGTTACTGGTAGAAGACAAAATTGAATCCATCATATTCATTGGTCTATGTGTTTCTCAAACATGCATTCATTTCAGCGGTTACAACTAGCAACTGCAAGTGCTCAAATAGCCTTTTCAGCTTTTATTAAGCTACACCAAGAACAAGTATCGAATGAAATATACATTAGTTGAAACTTTGTTCAAGAATAGGAAAATATATCGTGTATTTTGTTGCAACTTGAATTAGTTGAAACTTTTTTAATTAAATTTTTTTTTTAATGTATTAATTTAAGGGTATGCCTACTATGACATGCATGTCACCGTGACATGGACTTTTCGGTCGACCTAATCCTTAAGGCGGTCGACCGAATTGACTAATTTGGGCAGCACGAGAAAGCATTGCGGTCGATCTCAATAACCTACTGGTCGACCGTTCTTAGCTTAAGTTGTTATTTTTGGTTGACCAGAATAAACCTCGGTCGGCCATTTCGTTGGCGTCAGAAACAACATGGTCGACCGTAAAGGTATATAGGTCGACCACTTGATGGCAGTCATTAAAGAAAGAGGTCGACCAGATAGACGATTAGTGTTCTATCAATTTATCCAATCATTTGACGTAAAATGAAGATCAAGTGTTGGTGTCGAGGTCGACCTAATCAGGTACGAGGTAGACCGAATACAAGAAAGTCAACCTATGCCCCGTGTCTTTTTTGCTTATGTATGTCAATTTGTGTGATTCTTTTGTTCGTATAAATTACGCTTTAAACCATCATAACTAGTCATAAATAATGATAACAAGGACTCATCAATTATGCTATGAATTGAGGTCGACCGCCTTTAGGATTAGGTCGACCGCAATGCTTTCTCGTGCTGCCCAAATTAGTCAATTCGGTCGACCCCCTTTAGGATTAGGTCGACCGAAAAGTCCATATCACGGTGACATGCATGTCACCGTAGCAAAATCCTTAATTTAATTGTAGAAGAACACACCCCCTACATAATTTTTTTTTTTGTCCGCAACTGTATTCAATGACAGAGAAAAGCAATATAAAATACCTCCTAAGTTGTGGTACTAGTGAACTATTGGATTAGAGAGGCAAAGAAGTCAAATATTTTAGGAAGTGATAAGAACAGCAATCGGTTGCTGTCTTGGAGTAGCTAGCCGTGTAGAATTCGAACTAGAATTCCCCACTAAAAACCGTAGATATTATTTTTCTTTTTCATTTACAACATCATCACGTATGCCTTTCCACAGTGACTCCCTATCCCATATTTTGGTTATAGGCCCGAACCAACCTGATAGTAAATATAGGTGAGTGATGAGTTGAAAATTGTCAATCCGTTCAAGCGTGGATGAATTAATTTTATGAACAAAAGTCACCCGATTCACTTGTTGCTCATCTCTAACAGTCAACGTGCCAACCCATCGATTCAATTATGAAACCCAAGTCCACCATTACATGCAACAACAAATATTGTCATGAGAAACAAGTTGATCGCTCAAAAGATGGTATTCGTTCCGGAATCTCTGCAGATGAATGGGGAAAAAAACAATAGTAGTAAGAAACATATAGAAGCAGGCTCGAACACGTAATGCGTGCACTTTGGTGTGTAAAATTGAAGCGAATAGATAGATATGTGCAACTTTTTTTGAGTTAGAAACAAAACCCACAGTGCATGCATCATTGCACCGGCTCTGATACCATTCTTTTTAGGTAGAATTTCGTCACAATTAAGGTGTTTACTTTATTGATAATAAAAATATGTACACAATTATTATTACCATTATGAAAATCGCTTCACATAATCTCAATACTGAAATGAAAATATAGCATTTTTGTATGATTAATAACATTATATATTTCACTTTATATATATAATTATATTTGTAGATTTACAACAGATGTGTTGGGAAAAAAAATAGTTGAAAATGATGAGTTTATATCCTGTACAGAAAACTTGAGTGTTAGGGGTTCGTTTTGGAAGTTGTGGTTCTCCAAATTGAAATATTTAATCAAGTTGTGTATTATATCAATGTATGAATTTAAATTTAAAAAATACATTGTTTGGAGGTTGAATAATTCCGGTTGTCCATCACAAAATTAGGAATAAAAAATGAGTGGTTGACAATCTCAGCAGAGATTGACAATCATCTATAATAAATAATTCTGATGGACCCATCTTTTGCTCGAATACATGTATTTTGTTTCATTTTAACGTCAAAAATAAAAAATTATTCTAATTACATGTATTGTTTGAATACATCATTTGAAATCACTAACGGATTTGAGTATACATGCACAGTAAGTTTGTAAGAAAAATAATCTCGTCATACTACTTGATAGCGGCGGATAACAACTTTAAACCATTTCTGACATATATAGTTCCACTCTCGAAGTGAATTCTAGCCAACAATGATGATTTTTCAGCCGAATGGGGATCAATGTGCTGTAGTCCACGATGGACGTGAAACTACTTGACGTGACATTCTCTCTATTTTTTTTTTTCTGATTCATTTCTCTAATTTCTAATTCGTTGGTTCCCCTTCCCCAGCAAATTCCAGGATGCTTCCTTTGCTCATTCATTACGGGCTTTCACTAACCAAAAGTAATCAAACGAAGTACTGTATGTACCTAATTGATTTGACATTTTGGGCCCATCATGTCTCCGATGACCCAATGTATGCGTATCATTTTTTTAGGTACGATTCTACTCTAGGCTAGTGTGGTTTCTAATTTCAATGCTTTGCAACTCCACTATCTGGACTGAAAAAGATTTTTTTTTTTTTGTGGTTAAATAAAAATTTGTATTAAGCTCGGAATATGCAATCCGCATTCTCCATGCCAATATATCTAACAATTACAAGCTCTTAAGATTTCTCAATAAACCATATCGACCTGTAAACGAAAGTAAAAGCAAATTCCAAACTCTTATTACATTCTGCATTCTCAAACGAAAAGTTGCAACCGTGAATGTTGATGTGACTTGAATCGGAATATCAGCCGCTGCGACTGCAAGTTATGGGGGGTTTGCTAGCTGGTCAACGAGTGGGTTCGTGTTTTGGGTCTGGTTTGTTACTGCCTTTTCTTTACCATATTGAAATAGGGTTAGACCTAGGAGAAGTACTATAAATACTTCTCATACTCATATCTAATCTGTATCTCCTATAAGTATAGTGAAACTAGCTCTCTCCTGCTCGTGGACTAGCTAACACACATTGTGTTAGTGAACCACGTAAATCGTGTGTCGTGTGTGTGTTTGTGCTTTCGTTTTCTTGCGTTGTTGAATCCTCCTGTTTCCCGATCCGTGGAGAAACAGTCGTGACAAGTGGTATCAGAGCGCCGGTTGGAAATCAGTAAGGTTTCGATTATGAAGAATGACGTGGGTAAACATGAAGATCGAGAAGTTCACGGGGAAGAACAGTTTCAGTATATGGCATATCAAGATGCAGGCTCCATTGAAACAACAAGGGTTGTGGGGGCCACTGTCTGGGAAACAGAAGAAGGCAGCGATCGATGATGATGAGTGGAATACCCTGGAGGAGAAGGCACACTCGACCATCATGCTATCATTTTCTGATGACGCCATCATTGAATTCGTTGCCTAGAAGACTGTGACAGACTTGTGGTTGAAGCTGGAGAGCCTGTACATGACTAAGTCTCTAACCAACAAGTTGCATCTCAAGCAACGGTTGTTCAGCTCGAGGATGCAAGAAGGTACGATTTTGAGAGAACATCTGGAACAACTTAATTCTATTTTGTTGGATTTACGCAATATAGATGTGAAAGTCGATGACGAAGATGCTGCCCTAATACTACTTGTTTCTTTACCGAGTTCAACTAAGAATTTCGTGGATTCTTTTTGCTGGTAAAGATAGCTTGTCGTTGGAGGATGTCAGATATGTTCTTCACACGAGAGATATCAGACATAAGGCGTTTGGATCTAGTACATGTGGTGAAGCATCGGGGTTGGCTATTACAGGTGGAAAGGGAAAGAAGAAATTTAGTAAAGGGAATTCGAACAGAAATTCGAATTCTAAGGGTCACGGTCCACAGTCAAGCGATGTCAGCCACATATGTAAGGAAGTGAGGAATTGGAAGTACAACTGGCCCAGAAAGAGAGGGCATCATAATAACCAAGGTTCAGTTGTCGTGATAGAAGTGGACAAAAGTTCTAAAGGCGATCTCGCCTTGGGTGTAGATGAGAAGACACATCGTGGCGATGTGTGATTTCTGGATACTGCAGTTTCATATCATATGTCTCCGAATAAGGACAACTTCTCAACCTACAAGCAGATAGATTGTGGTAATGTCGCTATTGCTATGTAGCTGTATGCAAAGTGGTTGGAATTGAGTCTATCAAGATTCGGACACATGATGGTTCGTTTTGTACCGTGAACGAAGTTAGACATGTTCAACAAATGACGAAGAAGTGCTCTACTACCTGCTCCTTAAACATTCCAGGAAAGGACTTTAATAGTAGATTGACTAAACATAATAAATATACAAAAGAAAGAGTAAGGAAGAAGGCTTAGTGAAATTGGGAATCAGGAGATGTTGTCAGTTGGCACCGCTGAATCGGTTTGACTAGTAGAAATTGCCATTCTTTGTGTCGTTTCAGGGCCCAACTGGGTTTCCACCTTGGGCACATCTTCTAGTTTCCCATTTTCAGTTTTCTGCAATCATTCTCCTTATTCTACGAATGAGTGAAGAACTGTTCTATGTCTTTGATGGTAATGGGAAAGCCTTTTTCGTGACTGTAGAATTGCGAGACAACCCTTTTTCTATCATTTTGATGTTGAATCTTTTTTGGCAGGCGAGCTCACTTGCAGTGGTTTCTTTCTTGCTTTAAGACTGATGCACTTGTTTTGCTTTTGAATCGGCGACCGTTCAGCTTGATGTCTCTGGTAATGTTGCCTATTTGACTCCTTGGCAAGACGGTTTTTGTTTTCTTTCTGATTGATCACTAGAGGCGGAACCAAAATCACATGAATAGTAGTATTATTTGGGCCCATGATTGGTGAAGAAGTCTGTAAAGTTGTCCATGACGTGGAAGCTTGGGTCGCGTCCATCATATGGGCCTCCAACCCCAGCCCTTGATCCACTTGGGTCATTTTTTTGGCCTATTACTCTCCATTCTTGCTGCACTGCGAGCTTCTTCTTTCCATTTGTGAAACTTTCCTCCAATTGCTATGTTTTCCCCTTTCGCTCATCCGAGCTTCCTTTCCCAAGGTCTCCCTTAAATTCCTTGTTTCCTTTTGCATCTGCAGCAGATAATCCTCTCGTTGATTCCTCCTTTCCTTTCTCGGAAGATTTAGTAGCCGTTTTCCCTAAGTCCCCGCCTATCATCTGCGGAAGATTTGATTTGATTTCTTGTCCACTTAAAACTGCAAATTTTGAAATTAGTAACTCAAATCATTAATTAAAATTATTAACAATAAATTACACCTTCATTTACCCCTTTCTCCTATTAAATTTTAGGGTGTGCCTACGGTGACATGCATGTCACGGTGACTTGCACTTTTCGGTCAACCTCAGTTAGGATTAGGTCGACCTCATTTAGAATTCGGTCGACCTCATATAGGATTCGGTCGACCTCATTTAGGATTCGGTCGACCTCATATAGGATCAGGTCGACCTAATCTGTTGTTTCAGTGTAAAAACAGTTCATGGTGCATACTTTGGATATTCATATCATACAATTGGCTAGAAGGAAATTGAAGACTAATGACTTGTTTTGAAGCTGTAGTGTCCCTCTACATATTGAAGTGATTGAGAGCTCGATAGGAAGTCCAAAAGACCATTTTGAAACCTCATCAAAAGGCTATGCCAAAACTGGGAAACTGCCTGGAAATGGCTAAGTCTGGAAACGTGTTTGTGAAGCCTATTTTGGAGCTCAATTCGAGAAGCATGAAGGCTGTTTTTCTGGCAGACTTCGAGCACAAGCAAGCTGCCAGAAAAACAACCTTCGTAGCAACTTCGAGCCTTTTGTTTGAAGCCTTAAAGATATTCAATCTTTCATCCAATGCCTTGCGTTTGTATTAAAAAAATATGTAATTTAACGTGGTAGAGGCCCCTGGACTTGACTCGCATCCATGCTTCTCAAATTGAGCTCCAAAGTAGGCTTGACAAATACGTTGCCAGACTTGGCCATTTTCAGGCAGTTTCCCATTTTTGGCATAGCCTTTTGGTCAGGTTCAAAAATGGTCTTCTGGACTTTCTATTGAGCTCCCAAGTACTTTAATGTGTAGAGGGACACTTCAGCTTCAAAACAAGCCTTTAATCTCCAATTTCCATCTAGCCAATTGTAAGATATGAATCTCCAAAGTAGACACCATGAAACTATTTTTACACTGAAACAACAGATTAGGTCGACCTAATCCTATATGAGGTTGACCGAAAAGTCCATGTCACCGTGACATGCATGTCACCATAGCAAAGTCCTAAATTTTATAAGAATAAATTCTAAACCCATGTTGCCAAACACTAAAATTCTATTTCATAACCTTTTTAACCTCAATACATAACCCTAGTTTCATACAGAATTATCAAATCAATAAAATATCCTCATACGTCATTTAAATTAATTAGAACCGTTGTTTGAACAATTTTTAGAAATAGTAATAAAGTTCCCAAAATCTACAAATAAATACCCAAGCATCCTACTATTTTTTTCTAATTTTTAAAATTATCCTATGATACAAAAATCCAATGTACATAATCAAAAATAAATATATCCATGAAAATTATGATTTTCTATCAAACTGTCAAGCTTTAAAACATTGGGGGACGAAGTTGTTCCCACTCAACACTTGGAGAATTGATCCGAGCATTGTTCCCGTCGCTAAAGTACTCTAATTTCCATAATAAAAATCTCATAAATATGCAACAAATTCATCCAAAGCTCAATTGAACATCGAAAATCAATCTTCTCACCCTTTGGAGCGCTATGTTTTTGTTGATCACAGAGGCGACGCCTCGAGATGGTACACTCCTTCTTCCTCCTCCTTCACCGTATCCAACTCGAACAGGGCCAACATTTCTTCCTCCATAATTTTGCATAATGAATCGTTAATTATCGGCTACTGTATCCTATTTTTATGTATTATAAATCCAAATGCGAATTAATTTAATCAAAAAATGGCAATGTCTAATGACGGTCTCTGAGGACGGTTTGATAGCCGCCGCCCGCCGCTAAACCGATCTGAAATATAAGCGATACTGTCTTCTCCCAAATACTTATTGGGCTTTCCACCGACGCTCCGGAATGACGCCATTTGGGTTTTCTATTGTGACATTCAGGCCCAATTCAGACAACAGCAGGCCCATACTTTCCAATGGGCTGCTACAGGCCCAAGAAAGATCAGGGGCTCGCTTTAAGACGGACGGAAGGCGGTACACGTGTCCGGGAAGGCGGAAACGAAGCTTGGCCTCACAGGCTGGTATGGTAGCAATGGCGGGTTTAGGAGCGGAAATTCAGAGAGGGAAGAAAAGGTAAATGAAAACAGAATCAGAAACGGAAACGGATAAACGGTAAATATAATAATAAAAATAAAGTAAAATACATTAAATAAATAAATCAAACGAGAAAGGAGAAGACAGTGGGGAGAAAAAATGGATTGGGGGTGCGCACTACTCGACGAGGCGCAAGTTAGCGGTCATCCGCTATATCTCTGGGTCCTTCCGTTTCCGCTTCTTTATCCCTGGAAAACCTAGACGCACGAAGCTTTCCCCACCTGTTGTTTCGCTCGCATTCCCCTCCCACCCGTGTAGATCTGAAGATCACATCCTCTGGCCTCCTCTCCGTCTTTCCTCGCGCCTTTCGGTTTTGGCGAAGATCGGCCTCCAACGTTTTCTTCTGCGCGAACCGCTCTTTGCCCCATCGCCATCAGGCCTTGTTGATTTCCAGAAAGAACTTTTGAGGTAATTGATTTGCTTTTGCTGTTGGGTTTTCTTAGTTTCGAAGGGATTCGAATGTCTGGTTTTGCTGGTCGCGACTGATTCTCACTTGGTTTGTTGGGTCGATGGATTCTCTACTTTCGTTCTGGCATTTGGGTTTCAGATAAATTGAAGATTTTTAGTTTGTGCATCAATCAATTTCATTTTTTGCTCTACCAAGAATCATGTATAAGGAATTTGCGTTCGTGACTGATTTGTTTTTTCTGGGTAGAAGTGATTGAATTTTTTTAATGCTGAAGATCAGAGCTATGGACGCTGATCGCTCGTGTCAAAATCATTCGTCTGGACACCTCACGCTTTTTTTTCTTCTTTGTTCCAGATCAATCGTCATCCAGAAGTTGAATTTCTTGATTTCTTTTGGATTTCGGGTACCAGCTGAGTAGCTGCAATGCCGGCCTATGATGATGTAAGAATGTTCCTTTCTTATTTCGACGAGGTTCTGTTACTTTGATGTTATCTTTGTTCCTTAATGTGGCTAATCTTTCTGCAGGCATATGATGACTATCAGGATGAAGTGGAAGGGGATGAAGAAGAGGAGGAAGAATATGAGCAAGAAGAAGAAATGAGACCTACCGCCGAGGAACTCAAATATCTTAGTTACAGAGAGCAGAAGAAGGAACAGATCAGGAAGAAGATGCAGAAGGAATATGGGGCAGCTGCTGCTAGGCCCCAAGATAATAAGCGAAAACCTCCTCTTGAAAGGTCTGTGATGGGATTTTGATATTTTCTCGTTACCGGGTGACTGCTGTTCATCATTAAGATTTCTATATTGTGGAAGCTGTAGAGGCTTGAAAATTATTTGTGGCTGTTAAGAATGTCCAAGCAGCGTCATTGATGTTAATTCTATGTCTCTCTGCAGTTTCGGTTCATTTTTTGGCCCTTCTCAGCCAGTTATAGCTCAGAGAGTTATCCAAGAAAGCAAATCATTGCTGGAGAACCCTCACTTGGCAATGAAAGTTATAAACTCACAGCGTAATGTACGTGTCCTGTTTGATTATTCTTGTTAGGATATAAATGTATGGCCCATTCATTATTTTCTTGTGAATGCAGGAAATTAGGTGAATATATGTGTATGTGTTTGATTTCGTTGAGGCTTTCCCCCTTTTATTAATGGCTGCTTTTGTGGCTGAGGATATATTGGGTTTGGCTAGAATGACTTAGACTTTTGAGTTCATGCTGGTGTTTGGTCTCGGGAATCTAGCATACGAGGGCATTTTCCAATTTTTAGATATTGGGGTTACATTGTAGTAGAGAAATGTATACGAGAATGATTAACCTGAAATTACATACTAATTTATTAATTGAAGTTAAAGATCCTTTGTGTTTACTTGGAAATCCATGATTTATCTAGTCAGATGGTTTATTGTCAAGAGTTTTGAATTGTTTGCTCTCTCCTTCATATGTGGTTCTTGCCCGGATGAGATATGGTGCTCTTTTGGTCACTATTGATTTGCATAGCAAACTTGATATCATATACTCTTGGCTACTGCTTCAGGAGAAACGTAGTTCATCAACAGCCGCTGCTTCGACGAATGGTGTAACTGAGAGGATATCAAAAGTGAAAAAGGAGGTACTAAACAATACAGAAGAGGGGTGGGGGTCGTCACATTTATAATCCTGTAATAATACATTTTTCTGTTCTGCATACAGCTGCAAACAAAAGTCCAGAAACTCAAGGCCACAAGGGATTACTCATTTCTGTTATCAGATGATGTAGATGTCCCAGTTCCGGCGAAAGATCCTGCAGTGCAAAGAGTGTCTGTTCCTCAGTCTGGTGTGTTTCTGCTCCATTACGTAGGGTTTCATTTGGGGTTCAAGGCTTTCTATCTTTATTGAGAGTAACTTATACAGGTTTTTTGCTGATAAGAGGCGCGATCTGCTCAAGTGCAACAGAAGAGTAAACAGCCTATGGGCAATGGTCACAGGCAGGCGAATGGTGCTCGTGAGCAGCAGAGGAGATCGGTTCCCATGAATGGCCAACCGCAGTTGAGAGCAGGGTCTGGCAAGGCTATTTCAACTTCAAGTGGGGGACCAAATGCAGCACCACTAGACTCAAGGAGGCAGCTCGGTAACTACAGTGGTATTGGACCAGGACGGCCATCGACAGGGTCAATGAAAGGGTTGCCTGCAAAGATCGCTGCTGGTCATGTGGAGAAGAAGAATCCTTTGCCAGCTTCCAAGACCATATTACCCGCAACTCGCAAGCCTCTCCCTTCAAAAATGCAGTCAAGCATTCAACGGCCTCAGTTGGAAATCAGGAGGGTAGTGCAAGAACCGAATAGACATCCCGCGTACAGAAGGGTCGTGCAGGATGCGAGTAGACAGTTGGAGAACAGAAAAGCAGCACACGAACCCAGTAGATCTAAATCGATATCAAATCAACAATCACACTCTAGACCACAGGTTTGGTGTTCTTTCACCTTTTTCAATGATTTTAGCTGTGGCAGCGTGGAAACTTTTGTGTCATTTATTAGTGTTGATGACCTCTGCAGATGAATAAGCCGCCTGTCAGACCAACCTCATCATACCCATCAGCACAACAGAGTCGTGTGATTAAAAGGCCTGCTCCACAGCGTTCCGATGATAGGTACAATGACCGCTACAGTAAGCCAGTCAAAAAAATAGTCCAGCGTGATGTCCGACCTAAGAAAAAGCATTCTGAGGATGAAGACGCTTTCGCTGAGCTCAGACAGATGTTAGGGTAAAGCCGCTCATCCTTAATCTTCTTAGTTTCTTGTCATGTTGCTTCAGCAGTTGAATTGGTGCCTATTGATTTTTCCAATGGTCTCGCATTTTCTATTTCGTTGTGATGCCATCTTGTTCAATGTTATAGCGTATACGGTCATACGGTCATCAGTCATGGTAAGACAAGTGTCAAGTGAGCTGCTCTGTTACTAAGCCAGAGTCTTTCCCAGGGTAATGCATTTAGACAAGGTTTTTGGTGTGAGGGCTACTGTGTGTATTAGCAGTGCTGTGACTGTCATTGCTTGCCGGTCTTTGGTGATATACAGAATTGTTGGGTCTTCTCTGGTTAGTTTTAGGGAGTGAATTAACACTGTCTTTCACCCTATCAACCTCTTTTGTTGCAATGCTAAATCTCTGATGGAATGAATGGTTTCTCAGGAGGCCAAAGTACGCGGATTATGATGATGATGATAACAGTGACATGGAGGCCAACTTTGATGACATACTGGAGGAAGAGAAGAGAAGGTTAGTCTTTATGGACCCCTCGTCAATGGCAACGTCGTTTTGTTTTCCTCGAATTGATTCGCTCATTGCATGGCTTTATGGCATTTTTTAATATTGTTGGCTGCGGATGTTGTGTCTTGTTTTGGTGGAATGTTGATTATGCAGCGAGAGAATAGCGAAGCAGGAGGATGAAGAAGAACTGAGGCTGATAGAGGAAGAGGAGAGGCGCGAAAGAATGCGAAGAATGGCTAAGAAGCGCAAGTTAAGCCATTAAACCGTTAGTTTTTGCATTCCTCAAAAGGCGGGAGGAAAATGAAGAACAAGGAGAAGTCGGTACTCATGGAATTTGAATTGGGTCCTCATTGTTGCTCGATTTCAGCACAGATTTTTTATAGAATGTTACAGATTTTTTATAGAATGTTATGTAGGCACAATTTTTAGATGTAATCTCATGGCCAAATAAAATATTGGGGTTTCTTATGACTGGTTGGTTGACTGGCTCTTGAGTCGTTATCTTTCTCTTGACAACTAAGATAGCATTGACCTTGATTGTTTTACTCCGAACCTTGTTTCGGAGGCGTTTATTCGATTTCAAGTTGATAACCCAATTACAAAGGCGATTTTGATACTCTCGGACACATGACAAATGAGGAATTTAAAGCATTGGTGATCGATTTTTAGTATTTGAAGTTGCAGTTTTAACGTTATGGTATAACTTTAGGTTGTACCTATAATCAAATATGATAAGACAAATAAATGTTGTTTTAATAAGGGTACTATTTACTTGCAGAGCAAGTAACACCAATGTTAACCACGCGGCAGCTAGGCAACCCCCGAATTATGAGGCTTTTTGGAGGCGAGGAGTGGTTGATTTTCAACATCAGAGGTCTCTGCAACCAGTGTGGGCGGGATCACTTAGGGGAGTGTAACAGCCCCCCAGGGTCTGCTATAACTATAACGAGCCTGGGCATTTCGCTAGAGAATGCCCCTAGAGAGGCAGACAGGGGATGGCTCAGTCTGAGCAGTCTGTCCGGGGTGGTGGAGCGATGACTCACACAGGACCACGGTTTGGCGGCCAGCCAAACCGCTCCTTCTAGAGCCAGCGAGGATGCACCGGGCGGTTCGACCGCATTAATCGGGACAGAGACCAGGGGCCTTCAACAAGGGGACAACCAAGGGTGTTTGTCATTCGAGGGATAGAGGGCGACTGTGGTGACGATGGAGGGGACGAGCAAGCACATTGATGTGATCATGTGGGGCAAATGGAGAAACTGTGGAGAAGGAGTAATTTGCTTTAAGCATAGACCGTTAGTTGGTTGTTTTCTTCGAAAGATACACTTTCAGTTCTAGTACTCGGTACTAAACCTAGTAAATTAGCTCGGACCAAAATTTCGAGGTCGAAATTTATTAAGTGGGAGGGAAATGTTATATCACAGTTTGAGAAGTCTTAGTCAAACACCAAAAGTTTAAGACCAAGTATTTATCTTCTCAGTTCCAAATTTCGAGGACGAAATTTTTATAAAGGTGGAGGAAATGTAACACCTCGACCTTTGAATTTAGATCGACCTTAATACGTGAATGATTGGATTAATAATTACGTACGAGGAGTTGCAATTGCAGTTTATGAATAATAATAATAATAACTATTATATTATAAAAAAAAAGGTCAGGGGCCGAGCGGCCCATTAATTGTCCCCCCACATAAATTTCCAACGCAAAAACCCCTACCCCTACCCCTTCCCCAAATTTCCCCAAAACCTTTTTTCCAATCCCTTCTCCAGCAGCGCCCCACCCCTTTGTTTTCCCACGGGTACTACCAAATCCGGTCAACGCGGGTAAAATTCATATTGACGGGTTTTGGGGCGGGTTTGGGTTTAAACCCGTTCACTATTTATCGGGTTGGGTTTGAGTTTAGGTAAACCCGACCCATGGGTATCCGCCCACACCATATAATTAATTTTCTCGGTATATTTAATATTCTAAACAACTAATTTTATTTATGTTTGTGGAGACATATCAAATTTTTTCTTTCTAATTGTGTGGAATGAAGTTGATGTTATCGAGTGGAGAGTGAAGAAACTTAATTGAAAGGAAGAAGCTTTCTATTAATCATGTTATTTATGGATAATTTGTGATTTGCTTCTATTTTCTTGAGTTTTCTCGATTGGTGTTGAACAATTTGTATAGTTAATTTGTGATTTGCTTTAAATTTATAGAATGGTGTTTTATATATAGATAATTTGTATTGAGAGATTGATATTTGACTTTAATTTTGATAGGAACTTGTTATTGTAAATTTTTTACGACAACAACCCGTGGGTACCCATGAACCCGCGAATACTTAGCAGGTTAGGTTGTGTTTGAGTTTTTCAAACCCAATGGGTTTTACCCCGGGGTTTTTTCATGGATAAACCCATGGGTTTGGGTTTGGCAAAACCCGACCCAACCCGACCCATTGCCATCCCTAAGTGCGAGTGAGAAGAAGAGCGACAGAACGAAAAGAGGAAAAAGAGAAGGAGAAGAAGACCCGTCCGCAATCCCCGTCCCCATCCCTCCCGCGTCCCTAGATAATGATCGCAAACCCTTTCATGATTCCAAACTCGATTCATCGATAGTCTAATCCGAAACTCGTATTTTATTAGCGATGTCGTTTGAGGGTTCGATCATCGACCAGCGAGGAGATCAACGTCCTAGGCCATCCAATCTAGTCCTAGGCACGTTCTAGAGGTAAGGGAACTCGATCCCTTTGAGTTAGATCGATCGATTTGGTGATTTTTCGTGAAGGTGAAATTCTGGGTTTTTAGCAACAGACGTTACAGGCTTTTAGTGACATATTTTAGGTGGTCACTAAAGCTGTTGGGAATTTGCAGAAACTTATTTTTGGATATTTTAATTTGATTCGATCCTTTATCGGTGTGTGTTCCTGGGTTTAATAATTTTATAAATTTAGGGAGCTCTAGAAGATGGCTGTAATTTAATTTGGGGATTTTTGAAGATGTATTTCTATTTTTTGAAAATTTCGAAGGTTTATTTAATTAAAAAAATCTTACCGAGGGGATTTTAAGGGTTTTATAATTTTAAAAGATATAGGTGCTCATGATTGACATAGAAAAATTATTATTCGAATTTTTAAGAAGGTTCAAGTTAGGTGAAAAATTCGTCCAAGACAAGAATAATTTGGAAAAATGGTCAGTTTTGAAGGGATTATTTCTAAAACATTTTTAAAGGGGGTTAAGGGCCCTTTGGAGCGAGGCTCGAGGTCTGGATTTGGGGAAAGGGTATTATAGTGATTCAAAAGGGGTTTTAAATCGAGAAAGGTCGTCTAAGAAAATGAATTCTTATTAATAGGTTTTCCCAAGATAATCCGGCTAAGGAGGGGTTTCTTCGAGGAAAGAATCGATGAGTCATCTTTTCGAGGTGAGTGTAAAGGGGGTAAAATCTCTGTGTCTTAGGTCTTTTAGTTTATGATTTTCGTTCAAGTTATTAATTAGCTAATTTTTGAGTAAATGCGCGATATGTGTGTGAGGCATCCCACCGCCTGTAAGGGTGGAGGCACGCGTTGTGCTATGTATGAATTTATGGATGTATGATTGTAATAGTTGGTTGATGGTAAGATGAACCCCCGGGCGGTTGCGTCACTACTGGACGGCGAGACGTAACGCAGTGCCATTGTCGAGTTGGGTATGCAACCGAACGGCGAGACGTAACGCGGTTGGCATACTAGGGTAGGGACACCAGACGACGAGACGTAACACGGTGGTCCTTAATGTTGGTGTCTATGGATTAAGAATATAAGTAAGGAAATTCTAAAGATAAGATAGGAGTAGAGATCTCTTATAGACTGTTTGATAGCAAAGTATAGAGAATGAAAGCGAGAACGACTTTTGTCTAAGTTAAGAACCCTAATAACGTGTTTAGTGAGGCGTTTCTTAGGGCGAAGACCTTAGGAAGTAACTACAAGACTGACCCCTTCTCACTCACCAGGTGCAGAGTGGGGAAGAGGACGCATCCATCAAGAGGAGGTTACCCGAGGAGAGCAGCCGCGACAAACCTGAAGATGTCAACTGGATCTGGGTAACGAGATGGGACCTCCAATTATATTTGTCTTTAGTTTCATGTCTTAATGAGTATACTGAGAAACTCAAGGATTGTGTTTTATATTTTGTTGCTCTGGATTGAGGTCGCCCAAGTGTTTAGGGCATTTCACTTGAGAATCTTAAACATTGTTGTTGTTGATTTTTGGTTTTCATTTGTGAACCTGTTTTGGGTTGCTCCGGAGTAACCAGTTTGTGGTTTGAGTTATGGTTTGATTTTCAAAAAGGATCCGGTCGTTTCAAATCAAAGTCGCTTTGTGAGATGGTGCTGACTGACAACGAGGTTTGTCGGGAAGCTTGCTGGTCAATCGGAGAAGAGGAGTAAGGCGAAATGAATATCGACATTGAGATGGTGCTTTGTGGGATACTTAAAGAAGAAACCCCGTAACAGAGCTGGATCGGTGAACTTAGTGGGAATGTAGATTAGGTTGTCTGATGTCGATGTTTCGACGGAAGTCTAGAGGTCAATCCCTAGTTGCGAGGATCGACTAAGAAAAGCGGTGTTCCGATCCTTTCGTTGTATTAGGCCGGTATGTTTGTGTCTAAATACTCACGAACCCGGATCTTCGTGCGGTTGAGATTCCCGTGACTCTTCGAAGGCGCCTCACCTGCACACCACACTCACAGAGGACGGTGCCAAGTAGGGGTGGGCATTCGGTCGGTTCGGTTTCGACCGAACCGAAATTATGAATACCGGGTCCCCGAATTCTCTCAAACCTCAAACCAAATTTGAACCGAATTATAATTCGGTTCGGTCGGTTTAAATCGAATTATAATTCAGTTCGGTTCGGTTTTCACCCAAAACCGAATTTGTGAAACTACTTGTATTTTCTCACTTTTAAATTATTTTTCACCCCTAATATAAACAATAAATATCAATTATATGCATCATCAATGATAAAATCAAACTTTTCAACACATAAGTAATAAAACATTTCAAATATTTAAGTCTAAAAACAACTACAAACATAAAAATCTACCATTTGGAGCTTGCAATTATAGTATTTCCGTTTTTCGGTCGGAAATTCGGAAATTCGGTTCGGTTGAAAGAACCCTGGTTTCCGAACTATCCATATATTATTTTCCTTCCAAATTCCGAACCAAATAGCATTAATTCGGTTTCGGTTCGATTTAATTCGGTTTTGGTTTGGTTCGGTTCGGTTTTACCAAACCGTTTGCCCACCCCTAGTGCCAAGGCCCGTTAATCCTAAACGATCAAGTTAGTCTGAATTCTAGAGAGAGAATTTCTAAGCTCTTGTTTAGTGAGAGAATCCAATCCGCATAAATGATACATACCAGCGCTATTTGTACTTTTCCAACCCTCGACTGGACTCCTTCATTTCTGCCTTACGTCATCATTGAATATGGTGGGAGAGATTTACGGACAGGAGGTTTCTATGTCTCGGGTTTGAGGGAGGCCAATAAGAGAAATTAAAACAAGAAAATAAAAAAATAATAATGGGATACCAAAATCTGAGGCACTCTATTTTCCGCCAAGTAAAGCCCATGGAGCGGTTTCCCATTCCGCAGCTCCAGCCCCATAAGCAAAGGGCTGACAATGAATTTCCGGGAGCGGCACACAATACTGCTTCTCCTCAGCCACTTTCATAGATGCCTTTTTGTAGTGTAGGGGAAAAGAAGACAATTCAAGGTGCCTAGGTGTTCTGGTTGGCTAGTAATTCTTGATCGACGAACAGGAAAAATAGGACAGATCAACTCGTTGACTCTGCTGACTGTAGGAGCAGAGCAGAGAATGAAAGAGTTTAGCAGGTGAGCGAGAGGGGAACACCACCCTTTTGTTAAATTTAGGAAATTAATTAATAATTTGGAAATTTTAAAAAATGGAAAATAAATTATTTGACGTGTACGACAACTGGACACATCATAGTCAACTAAGTACTAACGGTTAACTAGATGAAAAGTTGACAGTTTGACTATAAATTATTTTATTTAAAATGAAAGGTTTGTCTATTATATTTTATTCAACCTTCCTTTTATAGCCTCTGGATTCACTGAGAGCCAATCTTTCTAAGGGCGGAGAGAAGATGATACAATTGGGGAAATGGAGTCCGTGGCATATTTATATATAGATGATACTCCCCATTGGATATCTATTGATGAATAATATGCATAATTAAAACCTAGTTATTTTGGAGACAAGAGTCAATGGAAAAAATGTGAAGAAAATCACTGGAAAAATGTTTTGGTGATTAGGAGTTTGTTGACATCTATTCAACAACACAGGTGGGGAGAATGTCGGTGTTATGGAGGAAAGGATGGTAGCTTACAGTTATAGATAAAGGGGGTCAGTTTGTTCATGGTAGAGTACATGGGAGTGATAGTTTGTCAGAGATTAGATAGAGCTTTAAAATGATTGGCTAAATATCCTTGTAACTGTGTTAAAGCTCTTCCTCCAGGGGTGTCTGACCATTATGAGTTGCTCATATACACAAATTCTAGAATGAAAAGTTTGTCAGAGTGAAGTTAGGGATTATGTAAGTACCGTGTCTATCAAAAGTTTAAAAAGGTAAAGGAGAAATTGATGAGAGTGAACAAGATTCATTACTCTGACCTACATGAAAGAGTAAGAGTCGCAACATAAACTTTAGTAGTAGCCCAAATAGAAGCCTTTGAGCGCTCTGTCTCTGAGGCTTTTGACAATGAAAAGAGGTGTATGGTCCATCTTCTAGGCAGATGTGGATCCAAAAGTGGTGATTTCAACACAAAGTTTTCCATGCAACAGCGAAAGTAAGATAGTCGAGGAGCACAATAAGGTAAGAAGTTAATGCAGAAGGAACAGAGCTTACATATACAGAAGAACAGAGGTTGAGGCAGTGGAGTTGTACAAAAATATGCTAGGTGTAGATGGTAAGGAAATCAAAAGGGTTGAGCATGATGTGTTTGAGAAACTACTATTTCATCGATTCCTAGAAGATTTGGCTAATATCCTATGTACTCCAGTTACTAAT